ATAAGGAAACAGTTCTAGAGCTATGTCAAAAATAAAATTTAAATTCTATCAGCAAGTTTACTTTGAAGTAGTAAAGACTGCTTGTGGCATTTTAGCTTTGAGAGTGTCATTTAATATTTTCTTAAGAATGTGTTTATATAGCAGTATGATTTATTATTGTCAAAATCTTGTAACAACAAAGAAATACCTGAGTTGTGATCTATGCAATACATAAAACTTCTGGGCAGAATCAGTTTGCTTATAGAAAATAATCTGAACATATATTCTCCTTAGATAGTTTTTGTAATTCACAGCTGCAACTGCTTATTTCAAGAAAAGGAAATATTTAAAGTTTGAAATAAATATATGTTTTAAATATAAATTTAAAAAGCATTCTGAGGTGATATAATTTTAGGGAAAATGGTATTTGATAAATTAATACCTATAAAAATTAGAATGAAAATAGAAAATATTTTTTAAATTTTTTTTGGTTTTTGCATACAACAAAAAACTAAAATTCATTAAAAAGTACTGCTGGACTACATAATTAGCCACTGAGGATAAAAACAGTCATGAATTATATTCTGTCCTGTGAATTTTATATATTTATATATATATATTAGAAGAACATGTACTAATATCAACTATTTATTTTGTAAAATATTCTAAGTATAACCTTCAGCTGCTACAAGCTGGTCTAAACATGTAGCCAAGGAGTAATATTGGACAGTACATAACAGCAGTATATACAAACCCCATCAATACAGGATATTTAATATTTGTGTATTTGAGAAGTTACCACCTGATGAATTAAAAGCATTTTCTATATGTAGCTGTGAAAACAAGGTACATTTAATCCATGCTATCAAAATGAGGAAATTAAAGACAGCAGGTTTTAAATGAGGAGTCAAGGCTTGCAAGAAGACAAGCTTTGACTGCCAGCATGGTTGTCCTTTTTTCAATTAAAAAATTAAATTATCCTCCTTAAGGATTTGTCTTTGGCTCAAATTCCAATTTGATATATTCCTTCATATGAGTTTTTGTGGACTATTAGTTAAATTAGCCTCTTTTAGGAGACTTTAACATTTCAAATTCTTCCTTTGACCTGTTTCTCTTAACATTATGAAGTGCTGCAATAAGCTCCTGCAGCATCACAGTCTAAAAACAGACCTCAAACTAAGAATAGTTGAATGACAGTTTGGAAAAATTGCTGCCTTAACTGAACATTGAGAATAATTTGACAAACCCAATGTCATAAATACTGTAGCCCTTGCTGCTCTCAAATAATTACAATTTAGATATTTCTAAAAAAACATGATTAATTAAAGAAGATTCAAGCCATGACTTCATGCTTTTGCAAATCAGAGATACACCATGTAGCTTTGCAGGATGTTGTAGAGTCCAAATATTTTTTTAATTTATTTTAGTTCCTTTAAATTCTGTTTGGTGGTAATGAATGAGGTATATAATTACTCTGATTCATCCTGTACCCTTAACATGAAATACCCTGGAGCACTTAAAAACAATAATTAATAAAATATCAAAAAAGAATCAATTAAAAGCGCTTTATTAACCAAATTAACTGAAAATTAATCATTAACTTCACATTAAACAAGATCGAGAATTGTGCACAACTCATTAAGACTTTATATAACTTATGTTATAAAAATGGCTGAAAAATTATTAGTAGTACCTGCAATATCTCTATATCAACAGCTCTTTATACGCTTCTTGTTAAACAAGTATGAATCATAGCTGAGAGCCAAAGAAATGAGACCAAGTAATCCTAAAGAGTAAAATAAATTCATGTGGCAATGCATCAATACCATATGTCTCTGTGAGACTCCTAAGTTCAGGAGTATATAGTTCCTTCACTTCTGAAATTGCCATATTTTCAAGAAAAGTGTATATCTCTTTTATTTTTTGCTTTTTGCATAGATTTAGGTGGAATCTAAACAGGTGAAATTGAGGATATAGAAATAAGCATTTGAATGCAGGAACGAAACATACAACTGTCAAGCTCCTGCATGAATAGGCACTTTCATTTGCCTTCCCATCTCAGTAACTCCATGACTGGGTTGCACTCCGGAGCAAGCAGACACCAGCTGTGCATGCTCCAGCCCAGCATCCCCAGAACACATCTGTATCCTCACCCCAGGAAAGGTTTGCTCAGTGGCATGCAATCCTCATTGCTCAATGACCCAGAAGAGGCAGAGCAACCCAGACTGAAAGCATAAGAGCTATTTTGGACCAGGAGCCTGAAGGAGCTCAGAAACAAAACAAATTTTTTAAAACTGAAATCAATTTGAAGTAATGCTTTAACATCCTCCCTGCCCCCAGCCAAGTACAAATTCCCAGAGCAGTCTTTTAATGATGGTACATAATGGTTGTTTTTTACCTGTAGCTTTATCTGGAAAACTGGTTTGAAATTTTGAACATCAGGGCTATGCACAGTTACATCCCAACTAAGACTCTAAAGGCAAGATAGGATACACACAAACTTTTTTATCACATTTTTTACTTGAGACAAAAAAGTCAAGGGGCAAACACAGAAGTGTAAGAAATCAACAAAATTTAAAAAGTTAAGAATTTTGATAAAATCTGTACTAGATGAATACAATAAATGCAAGATAACTTATTTTTAGTTTGTGATTCTGTCCATTCAATTTTACAGAAGCTCAAAAGAAGCTGAACTGTGAGTGACCTTTTTAGTTTTGTTTTGCTTACTAGCTCATCATACTCCACCTTCTTAAGGTTTGATGACTTTCGTTTTATATTTGGGTTACTTTTTTTTTTTACCTTTTTTTTTACTCAAGCTTGTCTTCAGCCTAAGCTGACAGATCTTACTTTTTTTGAACATTAAAAATAATGTTACTGAAATTCAGTAGAAAGATTAAAAAAATCCCTCCAAGACTTAACAGATTCAATTCAGTAGGAAAGCATTTCCCCAGATAAAATCAAGATGATAGTTAGTCAAAACCAGCTGCAAAATAGTATTTTCTTCAAAGTTGTTCTTTAAAAATCTGTCAGCTCTAATCAGATAACACTGAACTTTGATATTCTGTTGTTGATACTCTTGAACTAAATTCCACTCAGTGTTATTTGTCCTAAGCCATCCAATCTTCATTTTCTACCCAACCTTGCACATACTTTAGGCAAAGGCAGAGAAAAAGGATAAAGATGAGACTTTCTGTGCTTCTGACACAAATGCTACAGCACCTGCAATTAATACGGCTGAGCAGACACTCGCAGATAAACTTTTATTTTAACCACAATACCCAGTACTGGTATACTGAATGAAATGTCCATTTAAATTTTTGACCTAGTAGATCTGTGATTAGGAAAGTGCACAGTTCAACAGGCCATTACCTAATTCATGAAATGATGGTCATTATATGGACAAAGTGTTATTTCTTCTGGAAAATGAGCAGGTCACTGACCACTACCTTGACCAGATACACCCAGGAATTAGAATGGATATTTTGAGTTCATATTTGAATAGCATTTAAGACACTCTTTCTCTAAACACTTCCCACAGGACTGCACATGCCAAGTTCCTACCATAGCTTGTTATTATTCAAAGACCTGAGAACGCTCATTCCACTTAACGCTATCTCAGTTTTACTGGCAGTGCTGAAGACAACAGTCTGCTCCCTAGATTATTAATGGACTTTCAGAAATTATAAAAAAAATTGAAGTTGCAATCTAGCATCACGTTGCCAACAGTGAAGTCTTTGAAGAAAATAATTTCTTTGTCCCTGAGGTATTACAGAAATCATCCAGCCTGTTTAGATGAATTGCAACAAAACAGCATTCATCATTAACACAATGCAAAACAAAGTCTGTGGATTTTACTGACCAGTTGGGTACTTTGGGCTGGTACCAGGGAACAGAGAAAACACTACACGCTGAAGCTGAATTAAAAGAAATGCACCTTCTGCAGAGATGCAGAAGGTGCATTTGAATTACCTTCTGTAGATTCCTAGCTCAGGTGGCACCTAACTAATTTTTATGTGATCCAGAACAGGAATTCATAGATGGGCTTCACTGCCCATGGAAATCAAAGCAGACAGCTGCTATTAACTCTCTTCACCATGGAGCTCCTCTGTGTTAAAGGTACATTCCTAATCTTCTAAGTGAGCTAATTAGTTAATTATCATTTATTGTAGGGATGCAGTCTGAGGAATGCTTTTAAATGGGACTTGAAAGTCTCATCCCTTTTTCTCATCCCACTCCTTAGAGAGACCTCCTGGCTAATTCTCATTCTTTGGACTAATGATCACCCAAAACTCAGTGCCCACCCAGATTTAAACCACTAGATTTCATAGGCTGCCTTAAGAGAATTCCTTTCCACCTCAAATCTCATGTTGGCCACATCAAGCCAGGGGAAAAAAATGCTCATTCCTCAACTCAAATGTCAGTTACCTTTTAGGATTACCACTTAGTTTGTTTGGCATAGACAATCACTGTAACCTGAACTGTGGCTAAATCCTTAAAAAGGGAGAATTAGAAAGGAAGTGTTATGTACAAATAAAAAAGTAATTTACTTCTATATACAGCATTTACAAAATTCTACATTAATATATTCTCATAGTTTTTGAAAATCAAGGTTTCCTAGGACAGCTGTCAGAAAACCAGTCTTACAGTGTGAGCCTTAAAGAGTACAATGAATCAAATTTACCAGAACAAAAGTTGAAAAATATCTTGACTACTGTGTGAAAATTTTTAGTAGTCATAGGGGTGATAAAATTGTGATAGTCTATGAAAGAGGCCAGGTTTGCAGATCAAGGCAATAAGTTCATCAGGCCAGGTGACACAGCTTCTCTGCATGGAGACCTTTCAACAGGTCACTGCAGTTTGTCACAGACACTTGTTCAGAAAACATATCTGAAAAAGGGGCAATTTTCAGTGTTGCTGTCAAAGGCATAGCAAAAGGAAGACTGGCAGCTGAAATTAGACAAATTCAACCTTTCCACAACATTTCCTAGCACTAAGGGTAATTAAATATTGGAATGGCTTACCAGGGGAGCTGGTGGACTCGCCATTGCTTGGAGCTTTAGGACGAGATTAGATATCATTGTAAAAGAGATGCTTTAATCCAGCTTCTGGAAGTTCTCAACATGCCCATAACACTTGCAGCTCTGCATTGAGACAATGACTATAATCAAATCTCGTACTTTAGGGTTTCAGCTGATCAACTGCAAGGTTTATAAAGAATTTTTTTCCCTTCACATAAAAACCAGACAGATACTTTGGTGTATTTTATATTCTGATCTGTCTCTGAAGTAGCAGAGATTGCAGAAATCTACAGAAAACACGAAGGGGCCAGTGGTGATAGGGAAAGTACTCCCTCTTATCCTGAAATTCACAAAGCAGTCGTGTCTAAATGGGACCTCACATGAATTTAAAGTCATCTAGATGCATGCAAACCCCTCCTGGCCTGGAACCTATGTGATTAGGTCAGTGCAGAGGCAGGTTTGGTCTGTCTGCCCTGCTAAGGATCTGACCCATTCAGCACCCATTCAGCATTTCACTGACACTGCTACATGACTTAAGGAGTCATTTCATGCTCTGCTCCTGCAGAGCCCAGGCCAAGGGTCAAGTGAAAATCTATTGGATCACCATACCCTTAGAGGTCTTGTAATGAATCCTGCAGATTAGCTCAAAGGGTGTGCTATTTTCCAAGGTGAGATAAATAGAAATCTGAAATGAATTTGGTTCATGTTTGCTCAGTGTGAGATACAAATCACCTGTTAACACACATATCTCATCTAATTAGCTAATTGCTATTAAAGATGCATAAGTAATATGCAGATCCCTTCTATCTGCTGAAAATTAACACACTTTAGCCTAACTAGAGTAATCATGTTAACACATAGGTATCAGGATTTACTTTTCTGTGTTTTCCAGCATATATATATATAAGAATCCCTTTTGGTTTTTAATTTAACTACACCTGTAACTATACATTCAGCACTATTCTATCAGAATACTATAATGACTTGATTATTAAATGTAAATAAAGCTGAAGGCAAGAAAGAACATTCTGCTACTTTTACCCTTCTATGTGAAAAGAGTATGTCTTAACTCTGTCAAATAAAACATTAAATGAGAGATGGATCTTCTAGTGATTTCTGTGAGCAGCACAGTATCATGTTGATATTGTGACTCTACAAATAAATATCTATTTAAGTGAAGTCCACACCAGGATTTTATGCTTGTTGCCTGCCTATACTATTCTCCTACATCCCTTTGACAGTTTGTTAGATTCTAAGATATTTCTGTCTGTGCTAAATAACGGGCCATTTGATGGATTTGTGCACAGCTATACCTGGAATGTAATGCAGGCATGTAAATCACCTGCTGTGCAATTCAGGACATTTTCCATGCAGAATAAGGATGATTTATCTTTGCCATAATTCTGAAGCATATGTATCATATGTATCATAAGGCTCTGTTGTCAGTATTGCTCATTATGATTATGTTGTCATATTACAAAGTAGGAATGGGACACACCATGACAGCACCATCTAGTAACATAAAATATTCATGCAAAAACAAAAGCAGACTCAACCTTTAAAAAGTAGGAAAAAAAAAAGAAAAAAAAGATACACTGATCCTACTTGTCTCAATGTCTATTTTGGTGACACATGCATATATTTGACAGCACCTATGAGGATCAAATTTACAAGATGGCCCTATTAAGCAGTATATTATTCCATGGGTATCCTTACTCAAACCAAACCAAAATACTCAGAATAAGGGTTTTGTCATCTGGGATGAAAATTCCAAAATCTGCATTTACAGTCTTCTGACTACTCAAACAAACTTCACTTGTAGTGCTGCTGTATTTAAGTACAAATAACTGTGACAGAATCTGTACTGAGATCTGCTCCACACTGCACACAAATTTCATTATAATGAACTTCTAAAAGTTTTTGTTCTGTTGGTCTTTTTTGATCTGTATCTTACAGCATACCTAATGCCTACAGTGCAGAAATGCTTGGAAAACCTCAAATGAATCTACTGTCCCATAACTTTTTATGAATTATCTTTAGGGAAAAACAGAAGGAGGAATATTATGCTATGCACTAGACACTTTAGAAGCCAATGACATAATAAATAGTAATATCATTGTAATGATAACTATCATCCCAAATTTTGACTAAATCTCTCAGTTATACAAATATTATGCCTTCGTTTTCACAGCCTGTTCAACTGAAGGATTATTCAAGAAGATTTTGAGTACAGAAAGAGTCCACATATTTGCAGCAGAATTTTACATTATTTCAGAAACTGCTTATTTATATTCCTTCTGTGCCAAAATCTCTGTACAAGAAACACAGTTCACATGATCATTTAGCATCAAATTCTCTGCTCTTGCATTTCTGCTAAAAAATTCCCAATGCAAAATGTTTGAATTGTAAAGTACAGTTGCGAAATTCTAAAATTTTTAATTGAATGTACTATTTTAAATTTATGTTCAACACAGCAGAAAACAATGTGCATATACAGTAGAATCCTAGGATTAATGTAATTGTGTTATCATTCTTTCTCGATTCACTACTGAAAATGTTCTTACTATTCAAAACCTCTTTCCTACACACTTCTAGTAATAAAACTGGAAACTAAGTCTTGTATTTCTTGAATCTTTGCTTTCCTTAAATACCGACTAGTGGTGGGTTTTTTTTTTGTCTGTTTTGTATTGTTTTGTTTTGTTTTTGGTTTTTTTTGCCTGCCTTACGGAATCACAGGCAAGTTTGAATAATTTAAAATCTTTTAATTATTTTTTTTTTTTTCTGTTTTGTATTGTTTTGTTTTTGTTTTTGTTTTTGTTTTTTTTTGCCTGCCTTACAGAATTACAGGCAAGTTTGAATAATTTAAAATATTTTAATTATGACTTGTTTTAGAATAATTCTTACCTCCCCTTGGATTGTTTACATTAATGATATAATAGTTAAAATTTAATGCAAATTTTCATTTAATTCTATTTTTTAAACTAGTGCATGTAATAGCTACCTTTTCTTCATTTATCTGAAATCTAAAAAACCCCAACAAATAGTACAATTTTGACATATAACAAAATGCTGTCAGATGCACACCAAATAAATTTTACAACACCCCTTTCCCCCCACCCTCCAAGAAAACTGAATAAACTGAGTATAAAACAAACAACAATCTAATCTAACTGTCCACGTTACCTGGAAATGCATGCCCTGTTAGAGAATCCAAATCTGAAATTAAAACAGTGAAAAAATAATCTTTAACACTGATTTAATATTAAAAAGCACAGAAAATCAAAAGCAAAACTGGCACCAAATATCACATCATCATCAATATAAAATTTTAATCATATATAAAGAAAAGCAAACCCAGAAAACGTAGTATTACATTATGAAGGTTTTCTTCTCCATAGTTTTGTAAAGATGTAAAATATTATCTAAAGATTAAAGCTTTGAACACTATGAGAAGTTAATTTATGTTACTGTTTATGACAGACATACCAAAATTATATAGGAATTTTACAGTACTTTGCAAATGAACCTCTGATTTCAGAAACACATATCTTGAGTATAAACTTTTGTTCTACCTTTGTACATAAGAACAAACTAGGAAAGTGCATTATGCTTTTTAAAAGATTTTCTTTTTTGATCGCAACAAATGAGAGACCTAATTTTTTTATGCTACTGTCCACACTTTTTTTTTTTTACTTTTTTTCTCTTTTCCCAATCTATGTGTTTTAAAAAAGAGAAAAGAGCTGGAATTGCTCCAGCTGACACCATAAAGCATAAATGAGGGCTTTGCTGGTGACTCCCATCTGAAAAACAGCAGGAAGGCACATCAGTGATGCTGGAAACATCAGAATGGGCCCTTCTAAATGTGCACTGAGACCAGAACTCAGAATTCCATCTTTGAAGTGCTTTGCACCTGTGGAAATTCCATGCTCTTAACAAAGATTTATTTGGTAACCTTGAGGAGTTACACTACAGCCAGAAGGGTGGTGGAGGCTGACAGAGTGAAGTCAACACCAGCTGGGATTGCACTGCACTGCCACAGTGAAAGGCTCACTCTCAGACACACATGGCCAAGGAAACCCTTCCTAGACAGTGCTCTGCATATCATGTCAGTGATGGGAACCCATTTGGACAGCAAGCCCTGTTGCTAGGAGCAGTCCCCCAGGTCCCAGTGAGCTCACCAAGAAATGTGAGAGCTTCAGACTCTTCTTCCCCCCTTCGTATGACAAGTGGGATCACAGAAGGGTGCAGTGGCTACACTCTCTTGGAAAAACACAACAGACAGATTGTGGTTGACCAACCCACCCTACTATATGTTTACAGATGAGCTTTCTTGTAGTTTCTAGGAATTGATTGCATTTACTAGCAGTGCCTGGAAAAAAAATCTTTTAGTACTGTTTATAAACTACTTCATCTTAAAAAAAAAATAAATTGTTTTCTTATTGCAACAGTCAACGGATACAAGATTCTAAGTTAATGGTTTAGGCTACAGAAATTCTGAACTTTTTGTAATGCAGTAACTAATTCTAAAAGTCATTGGGAAAATATTTACCAATTATCTTCTGGAACTACAGAAGGAGCTCTTTAGACAGGAGGAAAATTGTGCTTGGCTCTAATAACTTTTAACAGTTTAATGGAGGCATTTCCTGAAGACTGAACATGCTTAGTTTTGTAAGTGAACACGGGAGAAAAACAACCTAAAATGTGATAAATGCACTAGAGAGAATTTCTTTCTGAAATCCAAATTGCTGAAGACAATGAATTAACTAACAATTCTAGTATGTGGTGTCTCAAGATTTATCACAAACTACAGAGAAAAAAAAAATCATCCTTAGGATTTTTTTTCTTTGAGTCTGAGAAAGAGAAGAATGTTGTTTCCCCCTAGGAGTCCATAAAAACCACACCAAAACCAGATTATGCATAGATGGAGCATCTATCTAGGCAGTGACTGCTTCCTGAAAGCACAGAGAAGCATGCAGCTACCTTGCAAATCAGAATCACCCAGAAAATATCTAATACTTGAATTGTCCAAAAGCTGTCACTGTGCACATCCTGTGGCACATCCTGGCACAGCAATAAGGTGTTTGAAAACATCTGTTCTATATCATTAATAAAAATATCCTGATGCAAAACCTGATGATCCAAGAAAAAAAAAAAAGCAGAAAAGGAAAAATTTCTCTCCTTCCTATAGCAGTGAAAAAATATCTACTCAGAACCTGGGATTTTAAAAAATACAAATAAACAAACAAAAAAACTGACCAACCAACCAACAAACCCAAACTAAAACAAGAACCTCAAACTGAAACAAAAAGCCTGCAACCAAACCAGAAAAGTGGGACTTCTATCTGAGAAGTTTATGTACATATTGTAACTTGCAGCAGAAATCACTATTAAAATGCTACTCTGAAAGAAATGCAGATAATTTAATGTAAATTAATTAGGCTCTTGTCCCAGCATAAAACAGCACTACTGTGTAATACTTTGTGTTAAGCTGATGATATAAATCGTGGATGTGTTTCTTTTCTTACAGGTCAGCATACACTAACTAAAACAAGGTAGTTTTTCACCCAAGCGTGTGTCCTGTGTGAACTGTTAAAGAAAATCAGACCTACTTTGCTATCTGAAACCAGAAGATTTTATGGTATATTGAACCCACAAATCATGATCCACATGCCCCAATTCCATCATTACATTTCACAAAGAATGATATCGGCTGACACTGCATAGGCAGGCAAGGTAAAGTTTCCCATATAAAGATAAATACCATGTGCAACATTTCCCTGCTAGAGTTCAATACATGAAATCACTGCAGTTATAATGGAATGAAACCTTTGCTGAAACAACTGGAATATTTAGTCTCTGCCATAAGATTTCTTCTACTCTTCTATGGACTCCAAGGGCAGCAGAAAAATCATAATTTCCTGCTATCGTTAAGAGCATTTTTCAGTTTCCTTGACTGATTTTCAATTAAATAAGGCTGAACGGGTGAAATCCAATATTCCTTCATTCAATTTATTTAATGAATTGTCCAGATTTGTTGCTATTCACTTTTATTTTCCTACACAAGGCTTCCTAACCAGCAGGAATCTGAGATGAAAGTGGAGTCCACAAAAGTGACACACACTTTCATCCCCTTTTTAAGGCAACATAACTAACATGTCATTATTAGCAGTTATCAAGGAATTACACTCTTGAAATCCAGACCTAATTCATACTATCAGTCATTTATTTAGGTAATAAAACTGGTAATCTGACAATAAAGCTGACTTTGAGTTATAAGCATGATTTTTTAACAAGGGAATGAGTGTGCACTTTTTAGCAAGCAGTATATCTGGTACACCACATTTTATTAGCTCAGTGCGAAACAGATGTTGGAGACGGTACAAGATTTTCATGCCAATACACTAATTGTTTCTTCCTAGAGTTGATTAGCAAAGATGTAGTTCTCTCTGTATCTTGCCTCCCAGGCCCATTCTTCCTGTTGTACAGTGTTCACTGCACAATGCAGGGCTCAGCTTTTGACTTCCCCTCTCATGGCACTCCTCGTGCTGTGCTTACAGTCAGATATCAAAGCACTGTGTGGCTGCCACTGACATGCACTGGCAGAATGCCAACACAAAATGAGTGGAAGGGATGACTTTTACAGAGCACAAGAAAACACATTTAAGGTGCAGAGCACATTAAATTCATTTACCATTAAAGGTTCTCCATGGCATTGGCAGCAAGATGATGTAATACCAAACTATCTCTGGGAGCTGATACCTGCTTAGAAAGGTTAGGAGGAGCTAATGAATGCTAAATCATGCTCTCTTGAAAAGACAAGATTTTGCCCTCCTTCTAAGTGTTTTAACAGTGATTGTCAACAAGAAAAAAGTGTAGCTTTGCTAAATCTTCAGTTAGACTCAATCTTATTTTATTATAAGCCCCTAACTGGGCAGCAGAACTCAGGAACCCTTGCAGATATACACAACACCTGTACCATAAATTCTACAAAGCTCGAGTCTTCTTTAAACAAGATGAGTTGAGTGAAGTCCAGCTGCTCATAATATTTGCAGTACAAAGGGCTGGTTGCAAAGAAGAGAATGAACAGTGACATAGAGCTGCAGTGGCTGAAGATGAAAGATGATTTTCATTTACTAGAAGTTACAGCTGTAGTTTTGACAATCAGGTCAGTGATAACTATTGGCGTGTAACTCAGGAATGGATTGGGATCGTGAGTTTTGCTGCACCAAGGTTTGAGGGTTAATTTGCATTAGCCTCTAGAGGAGGGAGAGTTTCCTTCAGCTCCAAAAATTATGTAAATTATTCACTGAAAAAAAGCTTTTTTAGTAGAAGCAACTCTTGCACAGTTCTGTTGCCTCCACTTGGGTCGCCTCTATTTATTACCTGTCACTATGATCCTAACCTACTGCAATAAATCTGTTTTCAGAGTCTCTTATTTTCCTTTCCTATTAGTACAGGTATTTGCATTCATTGGCCACCAAATATTTAAACAGCACAATTACAATTTTAATGGAAATGTAAACCTTTCTTGTGAGAATTTCCCTGACAAGAAAAAAACAACAGCAACAACAACAAAAAAAAGAGTTAGCATAAAGGTTGCACTCAAGAATTCAGAACAATACAATCATCAGTGACCATCTCACAAACCTACTGCTCACTTGTGCTGGCATTTGGAATTAATTTTTATTTTTGGAGATAGTTAAAAAAATGCAGCTGAACAGTTAGTTTGAAGAATTATCAATATGACATTTGAAAACCTATTTATTGCTCTGATGCCATTTGTTAGTATTAATTTTTTAATTAAAATTACATCATATTGAGACAGGTACATTACATTTATGCTGCTAACCAGGGTTTCATTTAACTGCATTCTTTCCTGTGATACCATTAATATTCAAACTTACTTTTCTTCAGTAGAGGTGTTTTGTTGTGAGATATGTGTCTGAGCTTCCATTAGCTCCAATGAAGAAGTAGTTGAAATTGAGTCAATTAATTGCATTGAAAAGTAGAAATTAGAGGAATAGTTAGAACAGCTCTTTCCACTGACAAGATCTCTAATGACTACGGTGTGAGCTTAGACAGCTATATATATATACATAACCTGTTGTGTAGGCAATTGGAGATTAATCTCACCACCAGAATCTTTAAAGAAAGTAATCTACATATACAGGTGTGAATCTGAGAATAAAATGTGAATGATTTAGACATGGAAAAAA